ATAATATAATATAATGTTGGATTCGGATATTTTAATATACGTTATAGCAACACGCTTGCTTAGGCTATAGAGATTAACATATATAGTTGGTCGAGTGTTATGTTGCCGCACACACAATGCGTTTGATTAAAAGTAGTTCTCCATTTGTTCACCATTGCCTTCAATATATCTGTTACATCAAAATGTGGGTGTGACTTGATAAAAACAATTTTAGTTTTCATACATTTCTGTTTCCAAAATATTAAGACAAGTAACACAAATGTCTATCGGATGTTTGGCTAGTCTAGGAAATTGAAATTTGGCTACGCTGGTAAGTGGATGAAATAATAATTGTGTTTCTCTTTTATTGAGCTACATGCATGTGAATATTACACATTTCTCATGAGGCGGTGCATTTTCATTATTAGGCGACACGTTTCTCATAAAACTGCACAATTCCGGCGAGGCGGTACATTTTTCTTAAGGCTGCAAATTCTCCCTGAAGTGGTACATATCCCATAAACCGAATTATACGTTTTATTATCTACATTCAGCTTCTGAATTATGTAGACTTTCGATAAAAAAAATGCATTTCGCCTTTTCCCCTAGTGATTTCATTGCTTTTAGATGTCTGGCTTGTGATAGAGTTTTGTAATTCAGGAAGCCAACACTTTCTAAATCGGAAACATGCAAAACAGAACAGCAACTTGAATACCTACGTATTGAATTTGAAAGTCGAATTTTGGCACCATTCAAAAAAACAAACGTATTTTTTCCCACATTTTACTAACATTTGGATCAAAACCTTTAGGAATAGGAATTATGTCAGTTTAACCCAATATTAAATGCAACAAGCACACACACAACATAAAACATGCAAAATATTACTCAAAAATATGGACGGGAAATATGACACACAAAGGGTTAAAATTCCTTGGACTTCTGAGTTATTTACAACCCATAAGTATTACAATGTTAGAGAACAACCCTTGGTAGTTTTTGGAATCTCACCAAACACCTACACGTTACATATCAAAATTCAACGTTTCACATTCTACTCAATCGTCCACAATCCTCGGGAGCGGAGCTACGTCACGGACGTTCTACGTTGCTAAGACGCGTACCACTGTACCACGTATTTCTATGGGCTTTGTGCGCGCTGCTGTGGAACGCCGGTGGAGCCGGTGAAAACTCGAGAAAACAACACAAACTCAACTTTGAAGTAATTCTGAACAACCAAATTCATATATGTTACACGCGTAGGGCTAATCTTGTTACACTGTTCAGGGGACTCTCAACAACCATCGCAAAGTACCGTTTTCTGCGAGTTTTTGGTCTTTGTTTTCACCGCGATGGTTGCCAGGAAGTAGTAAATGCCCGGATGTCCGCCCCCGAGGATACGACCAGGCCAGGGAATACAATTCACTGATATACAATTCACAAACTAATACCTCATAACATGTATTTGAACAAACTCAAAAAAGGGATAACGTTTTCATTTATTCGTGATTTGATTAACAAATGTTCAAGGTATGGAATACATTTTATTGTAGTAAAATATTTAGAATAACAATCCGTGCCTGGATAATACCTAAGGGATATTAACCTTGACAATGAGTGTATGGTTTCTAATGACGTTGTAACGTATTCTTAGTACTGTGACGAAATCCATCAAATGCCAACATTAGACGTAATGTGAATTGTGAAATGCAAAAAAAAAAAAAAAAAAAAAATATTGTAACTATACAATACAAGTAAAGTGTTGCTGGTAGTGGTCCTGTATAATCATTCCATAGTGTTATAATTATGGGTGTGTATAGATTGTGTATACAACCATGTTGACGCTGTGACAATCAAAAATTAAATTACAAACAGTAAAATTGCCCGTGGGTAAACGTGGACTTTGGAATTGATAAACGCAGTCGTGTGCTATTGTATAGTTAGTAATCAGCATATACACATCATATACGTAGTGGCGGATCTAGAGGGGGGGGACTTTTAATAATAATTCAGTGAATATTCAGACTTTTAATAATAATTCAGTGAATATTCAGACTTTTAATAATAATTCAGTTAATATTCAGACTTTTCATAATAATTCAGTGAATAATCATACTTGTGATAATAATTCAGGGAATATTCAGACTTGTGATAATAATTCAGGGAATATTCAGACTTTTAATAATAATTCAGTGAATATTCAGACTTGTGATAATAATTCAGTGAATATTCAGACTTGTGATAATAATTCAGTGAATATTCAGACTTGTGATAATAATTCAGTGAATATTTAGACTTGTGATGATAATTCAGTGAATACTCAGACTTTTCATAATAATTCAGTGAATATTCAGTCTTTCGATAATAATTCAGTGAATATTCAGACTTATGATAATAATTCTATGAATATTCAGACTTTTGATAATAATTCAGTGAATATTCAGACTTTTAATAATAATTCAGTTAATATTCAGACTTTTCATAATAATTCAATGAATATTCAGACTTTTGATAATAATTCAGTGAATATTCAGACTTGTGATAATAATTCAGTGAATATTCAGTCTTTCGATAATAATTCAGTGAATATTCAGACTTGTGATGACAATTCAGTGAATATTCAGTCTTGTGATAATAATTCAGTGAATATTCAGACTTGTGATAATAAAAATTCAGTGAATATTCAGACTTTTGATAATAATTCAGTGAATATTCAGACTTTTGATAATAATTCAGTGAATATTCAGACCTTTGATAATAATTCAGTGAATATTCAGACTTGTGATGATAATTCAGTGAATATTCAGTCTTTTGATAATAATTCAGTGAATATTCAGACTTATGATAATAATTCAATGAATATTCAGACTTTTGATATTAATTCAGTGAATATTCAGATTTTTGAATAATAATTCAGTGAATATTCAGCCTTGTGATAATAATTCAGTGAATATTCTTACTCGTGATGATAATTCAGTGAATATTCAGACTTTTGATAATAAAAATTCAGTGAATATTCAGATTTTTGATAATAATTCAGTGAATATTCAGCCTTGTGATAATAATTCAGTGAATATTCTTACTCGTGATGATAATTCAGTGAATATTCAGACTTTTGATAATAATTCAGTGAATATTCAGACTTGTGATGATAATTCAGTGAATATTCAGTCTTTCGATAATAATTCAGTGAATATTCAGACTTATGATAATAATTCAATGAATATTCAGACTTTTGATAATAATTCAGTGAATATTCAGACTTGTGATAATAATTCAGTGAATATTCAGTCTTTCGATAATAATTCAGTGAATATTCAGACTTGTGATGACAATTCAGTGAATATTCAGTCTTGTGATAATAATTCAGTGAATATTCAGACTTGTGATAATAAAAATTCAGTGAATATTCAGACTTTTGATAATAATTCAGTGAATATTCAGACTTGTGATAATAATTCAGTGAATATTCAGACTTTTGATAATAATTCAGTGAATATTCAGACTTGTGATGATAATTCAGTGAATATTCAGTCTTTCGATAATAATTCAGTGAATATTCAGACTTATGATAATAATTCAATGAATATTCAGACTTTTGATAATAATTCAGTGAATATTCAGACTTGTGATAATAATTCAGTTAACATTCAGATATGTGATAATAATTCAGTTAACATTCAGATATGTGATAATAATTCAGTTAATATTCAAAAAGTATACAAACAAGACTGCACCCAAGACAATTTTACTAGTTCTTAAATACTATAGTGCGAGTGAGCTCCTGGAAAGTACATGGATATTCATCTTTTACTAAACAGCCTTTAAACGATTTGCTTGTTCATAGAATTCCGAACCGGATAAGCACATAGCACTTAGAGAACCTGGCAGGAAACGTAGCTTCGACATGCTTTCTGAATACATACAGGAAATAAAACAACATTATACTGATGACCCTGGAAAAAGAGTTGCCGACCCTCCAATGAAAAATAAACATCCAGGAAAAAGAGTTGCTGATCCTCCAAAGAAAAACAAGCGCCCAGGAAGAAGAAATAGTGGTCCACCGTCTAAAGACAAATTCTCTGTGTAAGGAATGCTATGCCACTCCCTAAAAACAAAATGGTCATAGAACAACTAGAGGGAAGAATTTTTGACATGTCGAAAGATTACCATAGAACATAGAGTTCTCATTATAAGTTATATAATGCAACCGATAAAGTAAACTTGCTTACTTTACCATGTATGTAAAAATAGTTGAAAATAAACAAAGTATGTTTACATATGTATAGTTACCTATATATTAGTTATTATATGTTGTGTTTTTCCTCTGAGAAATATATTTATGCACAGAAATTGAGTGTTCTAACCAAAGGGTCATTGAGTCACTTTCACAAGCAATGAATTCCTTCTCTAAAATAGACAACTTTTGGAACAATAATGACGCGAAGCATCACCAATAATCTTCCTGTTCACTGTATTCATTACGAATGGATGCCCTTCATGATAGTGGAATAGTATTTTTTTGGCGTGCAAAACATGTGTTGGTATGAAACACACAGTGATGATGTCAGTTGGGGGAATTTTGTCTGCACAGCCAGTAAATTTGTGGGGCGAACTACATCATAAACACCACTCCAAGGAAATCGAATTCTTGCATACATTTAGCATTAGACAACAACTGTTGGGAAGATATTTTTCAATGTGGAGAAGGTAACATAATCAATAGCTGTATCATGGCTTAATTTATCGTATTATTAAACCAATTCTGAGGTACGAGGGTTCTGGAAGTTCGCCTCCTTTCGACTGAACAATGACACACACACAATTAGAATACGCTTCAACTTCTAAGTCTTAATCGCTCGCCAAGAACTCAGCAAGAGTGAATGCCCCGGGGAAAAAGTCCCCCAAGACTCTCTCAAGGCCAGGACTGCGACTCTTGTGGTGTTCTCGCCAAGACCAACTAAAACTCCTTTATTCACTATCAAAACCTTAATCAATTACAGGGGAGTATAAAGACTTTAAGGCGTGGTCTTCAATCATACAACCAATCACACAAAGTATTTAACACGCCATAATATCTGATTAATCGCCCCCTTTGTCGGGAATACTTCTACATGAACCCGTTAGTTCGGCGCCACAAGTATTAGAACAACATTTCATAGTTGACATTTATATCCGCCAGTTGTTCCAACATCTAATCCCGCTAACATACGAATAAAACTGACCATGGCAAGTTATGAGCAGGTGTGGATTATCCAGGGGTCATCAGTGAACGTCGCTACAATTGCCAAAAGCGGCTCGCATCCAAATACATAGATATATAAATCATGACAACTGCTCCACTGCGGTACAACATAACTTAGAGTTGGCTAGCCCTCTGGCCGCGCATCATAGACCTGTAGGGACCCAATGGATTGCAACTTACACCCACTTGGTCATGTGCAGCGTCACTTTGGTCTACTCATGGAATTTAACATACAAGACTTCTTACCCCAAATAGGCAGATTACTATACTTGTAGTTGTCTAGAGCACAACCACACGTTATTTGCATCTCTGGAGTTCATGATTCATGTTAAAACCGGAATATAAACGGGTATAGTATGAAGTGAGCTGTGTCAGGTTGTCACCAAAAAGACAAGCTCGCAACTCTTTACACTTTATGTTAGAAGACAATGCAAGAAGAACGATGGTTTCATACAGTGATATGTAAGTTCAAAACCAACATCAGGAAGAATGTTTGAGCATTGAACTTGCTCTGGTTGAGCCCCAATCCTTAAGAAGACTCAAACCAATTTGTTTTGAAGACACTTGAGATTAACTTTCAGATCTGTGTTGACACCATCTCGATATTATATTCTTCATCTGAAGTTGTTAATGTCAGGTATGCTCTGTACAGGAAGATGAACAATTCCGGGCTGCTTAAATCCGGTAGGCATGAATTGTCTCACCATAAAAATGTATGAGCAGTTAAGCTGGGCAACCAGTTGCATTATTGCGAGTTTCCTTGATGTGTCAGCACACAAATTGTATGTTGTGTTACCAATAGCTAGGATCTCCACTGCCAGAGAGTGACCGTGTTCTATGATTGTAGTGTTGTAGCCCCTGAGGTGAACCGTCTTGCCTGATACTGATTGATATCAGGAAGATCTCAAGTGTGAGCTGAAACACTTTTAACTCATTACAATTGATGTCCTTCTGAGATTGGTGACGGCCCTGATATGTTGGTCCATCATGTGTGCTCCTCATTCGGAATCCGCCAGGGTCCTCTTCTCTATGTGACAAGCATCACTTTAGTCATTTCATTTATCACAAATACTATGCAGACGTCTATGCTACAGCCCAGTTGTCCGAAAGTTCACGAAACCAAAGGTTCACGAGACCGAACGTCCACGAGACCGAACATAAATAATACAATTATTTTAATCAATGATTTGAAGAAGAAATCTATTGCGCAAGTGTTTAATTTTATGATAGTATATTAAAAAATAAACAAATTAAAAACGATAAACCATGAAATTTGGAAGTCATGTGAAAAACCGAGAAAGGCCTTTCACCTCATATTTCAAATTTCACACTTCATAATGCATAAGTCACGTGGTGTAGGCGACGTGTGAGGAAAGCTCCACTTTGCATAGAGGGTGCATACTCCAATATATTGATACCGTGATAAAGAGGTGTAGAACATTGTTTGTATCATATTACGAAGTTTATTCAAAACTATTTATAAACTTTTTATATTCAAAGCAGCAGAAATTATTGCCAGGTAAATGTCCGTATTTAACTTACGGGATATATTGTGAATACTTTCTCAGAGATGTATTTGTAAGTAAAATGTGTCATACTATTTAACCACAGAAAAATGCAGGCAAGTTATATGATAGTATATTTTATTAAGTATAAGTAAGTAATGTTATCGATATAATGACATATTTAGACAACATGTTAGAAAATATTTATTAAAATCTAACATGTATTTATGTTTTTAAAAGCAAAACAAATCTACTGCCAGTCGATCATCTGACATGGATATTTAAACAAATTAAAAAGTAAAAAAAAATAGACACCAATTCGGTATAAGGTACAAGCGTTCATGTAGCTTTCTTTTTTATTATTGGAAAACTTATTTGGAATTGTTGTCAAAAACTACGTAACACTACAGTGTTAGATAAGCACATTCCCTATAGGTAAGTGAGTAGATATGATTTATAAATTACATTTTACATATATATCAAATCAGCTAACCAACTAACAATTTTTTTTTTTGAAAGAGGTTAAGTTTTTAAAATACATTATTGTGTATACGTGCACAACAGAAAATCATAGTTATATTAACAATTACGTAATACAAAAAAACAACACTATATAAATTCTAATTCTGTCATGATAACGTTTTTATTTTTATTTGTTATATTAATTCATCACCTCTTGTTTCCATAAATGTCAATATTAAAAAAAACCACAATGTACACACATAAATTATGCAATATAAAATACAATTATGTTATTATTATCTGTAATTTAAATGTTGATGTCACAAAAATGTGCGTTGCCTATATAATTATAAATGCCAAAAGGAGGTTTTTACAAATTTTATTTTTGGCATGCAAAGAAGACTTCACATTATTAAAGACATGGCATGTTAATTTCATTACCTAATTATGACATTTGTGTTTAGCAGCTGTGATATAAATACGATTTCTAAATTCTTTCATAAAACAGGTATAAACGGTGACTATGTCATTTTTCTAAAACATATTGTAACATACTAATACAATTTATGAGTGGATTATATTAGATTATACTTGTCCTAAGTGTACGCGCAAGCGCTCATAATAGACAAGTACTCGTTCACGTTGACAGAGAAGCGAGCCAATCAGTTCGTGGGAAAAAACTAGCTGGGCTTGACCTACTCACTACTTCTGTGCAGGGAATGTACTAAGACGCATAACAGCGGACCGCCCCAGAAAGATGTAGATTTTCGAGTACTTCGTTGCCGGGAAAGCAACATAAATTGAAACAATAGTCACAACATAAACCAAGGGTAGCTATATTTTCAACGTGCAAGGCGAAACACTATAAAGTACTGATTTAACAAATGTGAATTGTGTCATTCGTTGCCTCAAGATTCTTCATGATGCAGACTAGCATGAAATCCGGACTAGCGTGGATTTCGTTATGCCTTCGGACAATGCAGCACAAATGGAATAACGAAACACTCAAAAACGCCGAATTTTCGCATATCAAATTTACGTCTGACGTGCACTGAAATGTTATTTTTAGCTCACATACGAAAGAAAGATCAGTCTAGAAACCGGTGTTCTGCAGACCGCATTACCATGAGGGGAAGGGGATAGCCTGAAAGATAGTTTGTTGACTAGTTCACATCAATTAGGCGAATTCGTACGTTTTCTGTAATCAATATAATTACATTGTTTTGTTTTAGAATGGAAAAGATCAAACAGTGCTCTTATTCAAACCTTTAACCAACATTGTGCAGAAAGTACATTGGAAAATTGTAATAAAAACTTGTGAAAGAAATAATCTGAAAGGAATTCTTTATTCATGTTTTATGATTGTCAACTGATTGTCACAAAATCGATATAGCTATATCGGGCTTTCAAAATATTAACTATTTTCTGACGTTGGGCATTGTTCTTCCTGAAAACATCCCTACGATGCAATTACAGAAAGAAACTGAGAACACGTGACTATTTTAATATAAAAACGTGAATATGTTGTGGTTCGTTTATGTAATTCCGTATAATATACTATATATTGGTATATTGTCCATTGTCATTTCAAAGCATTAAAAAGTCGCTTTATTTGCTTTGTGTTGAATGCGTCAATATATATTGTTCTGTGAATAACAATCCAACATTAAATATGATAGAAGTTTGTTTTCGTCATTCAAAATAATATAATTCAATGCAGTAATCGGCTGAATGATGACAAAATATGTTTCATAAATAGTATATAGTTTCCATATAATATGTGCTAAAATTGTGAGTAGAGAGTAGTTGACTGACTATCACATGGCTCTAAATACAAGGGAAATTTATTTTCTATATTTTTGTTCAAAAACGATCTTCTGTTTATTGTTATTAGCTTAATTCAGATCATACCATATGTATATAGTCTGCATATTCATTCCATATGAAGACACATTTCCGCACATAACTCACATTCTAGTAATTTTGTCAAGAAATGTAT